GAGGCTAATCCATAAACCTTGATGATTTAGCGTCGGTAGGGGTTGCTGATCACTGCAGCCTTGTCACCACCTGGTCCACAAGTTTGGCCGGCCCAACTTGGCGTACTGAAAGACAAGTGCCTAGTTCCCGTCTCATCTCTTGATACGCACCCTGCTCGAACGAGCTTGTGCGAATTGTGGTCTTAGCTATCTCCTCTAATACTATCATTGATGGTTGCGGAATGTATTTAGTATATGAACCCGTGCATGCTTTCGTCCTTTTCTCAAATGGGCTTCTTCTTCCCATTATTCTTAGCTCTGTACGCTGTCATATCAATCCACTTGATCTTTGATTGCATGTACCCGAAACAATAGCATCTATCAAAGTATTTCCAGGGTACTTTTGCGAGTTCTCCGAGCTTGCATGTTGAAGTCGCGACCTCTCGTACAAGGCCATACAATGTGATTGGCTCTTGAACATGAACTGCTCCTGCAGAAGAAGAGAGACGGGAGGGAGAGAGTCTTGTGCGTGTGTGTCCCGAGATAGAGAGCCGCGCACCTTACCGCCCCATGCCCCATGATGAAGAACCGGCGCCAGGCTGGTCATGTTGACGACAGAGGGCTGGGGGATGGGTTTGATCAATAAAAGGCCCCAAACACTTTGAAGCCCCCTGAGTGACGGGACCTGCCAATTCCCGAAACCACAGGCAAGGACCAACAATTCTACCTTGGTGGCAATGAATCGATTGACCGATTCCCGCACGGGTATATATCAATACGTGCACTCAATGAGCGTATTCCTTGATGGGTTGGGGATTGATCACAAAGTGTCTTAAATATCAATTGATATCCGTCCAAGTCTTGATACTGTGGCCCCCGGATCCTAGGTTGGATTGGGGGAGAAGAAGAACATTTGAAGAGGGCATAACCCAAAAGGAAAAAAAGAAAAAGGAAAAAGAAAAAGCAGGCACCCGCAACTAGACCGGCTCTAGCCCCCAAGGCGACGCGTATCATCATGCGAGCGTGACTGACCGTTTGAAGCACCAACTTCGATCAGCTCGTAATCTTCCGATGTCCCTTTCAGGAGCCAAAAGCCACCACGCAGAGCAGCAAATGGCGGCTTCCTACTTGGGAGGCTACGACGGGTGGCCGCCCCCAGCTAGCAGCTCGCTTCCAGAAAGAAGCTTGAACGGTAAAAGTAAACGTGCCTGTCCACGAAACGGGCGGAAAGTGAAATTGACTTCTATTGAATTAATGTGCTGTCTGTTATTTTTCCATTTCTTCGCGGAAGGGGGGTTTCTTTTCAATCTTCTTGATTCGTACTCTTTCTTCCTCATGTCGCCGAAACATTACCCTTGATTTCCTACCTACCGTATTATTATTTGCTTCTCCTTTCCCTTTTTTCTTTCTTCCTTTTCTTCTTCTTCTTCTTTGTTTCATCGTTCCTCTGGCCTCCTTGCCGGGCAGAAGCTATTCTGTAAACGCCCCGCTCGAGGTTGTTGGCAATCCCGTTACGCAAGACAAGACACTCGCCCCTTTTCAGCCTAGTGCCATTGCTGGCTCAGTCCCATGCCTCCCCTCGAAACCTTATTCCAACCACGGACCACTGCTGGCCACCGCACCGCACCTCCAACTTGACCACTCCCGGATGGGGAACGGTAGTTCGTAGTGAGGGCGGGCTGGCATGGGAAAGGGAAGGAACTGGGCAAACTTCTATTCGAGGAGATCGGCGGCGCGCGGAGAGGGAGCAAATGGCAAATGGGGAAGGGGGTAAAGGTACGGACTCCCTGGGACTATCGTCCCACACCCCTCAACTTTATCTCTGGATCCAATTGATTCATTCATCTATCCATGGATGGAATGGATGGATGGACGTACGAAGTATTTTCTTTTGAAATACTACTGCCACACAGATCAACCACAGCTCAATTTAGTTTTCGTCACCTTTCACTGGCCATTAGCCAACGCCAGCTCGGAATGAAAATTGACGGGCACTTCCCCGCCCTCGAGCTTAGGAACCCCTCTTTCCACACCTCCAAAACATAACAGGAAAGAAAAAGAAAGAGGGGAGAAGAAATCAGGTAGAAGTAAAAAACCAAATCGTATCATCTAGGATGCATATAGACTCGAAGCCATCGCAGGCACCATATTTTCGTCTTTCTTTTTCTTCTTCTTCTCGAGCAGGCGAGGCGCAGGAAAAAAGGGGCTAACACTTTGCTTGTTTCATCGCGGCCAACCAAAGTAAAACATGTGTACGACCGAAGGATCGGTAGAATACACCGGGGTCTGGCCTATTTCAAAGAACGACATTGGACCCAGATCGGAAGCCTCAGCACTGTGGAAACCAAGGTGGGCGCGTACTACTTGACTGCTGGAGCTGGGTGCCAAGAAATTGGTTACACCAAACGGTCGCATCCATGTAGCAACGTGCTGCACTCGATTCACGGTAACTCATTCATCCCCTCTCTTGTTCTAGCTTACACGAGAGGAATCTAGCCTACTTCCGGCCCACCACCGCCCTTTTGTTTCCAGCCTTTTATTCCCCTCTGTCATTCGGAAACTTTATGCCGCAGAGAGAACGTCATGTCATCTAGGCGATTCACATCTCACGTCTGAACCGGAAAACCCGTCTGAGCGATGGATGTCGGATAACCCAATCGGATCGGATGCATGTTGGGAAAGGGAAATGGTAGGGGGCACCTCGTTTGTTTTTCCCTTGCCTAGCATTCGGAGGCAGCTGCGCATGTCTTCCGTCGCCGTTTAGGGGCGCTGCAGAGTTTCCCAGCACTGGCGATATATTAGTTGCCTTCAGTACAAGTCGGTGGAGAACTCGCAAGTACATCAATGGATCCATTGGATCAATGGTGGATGGGACAATACTTCGGTACATCAATGTACGATCAATATCAATATAGAGCCTGCTCCTTCTATTTTCGTAGATCATCTTGGAGCAGGGGGCGTCTCTCGTCCTCTTGAGTGACGGCCGAGCCACCACGCCTTCCCGCACCGACTACAAGTACACCAACGAATAGGCCAACGGCCTCAGGGAAATGGTCGAAATTGCTTGGCCGATTTCTCGGGTGCAATGATCAATGATCTGTGCATGGCGTCGCTGTACCGCTGGATTTTAATTTGCCAAGGGCCACCGGCACCAACCTAAAACGGGCCACGCTACACCGAGAATCGATCCCCAACCTCTTCCCCTTGAGCATCAATTGATGGAGGCGAAGCGGGGAGAGGGAATCACCCCGTTCACCCAGATGCCGCTGGGCTCTAATATCTGGGATTTGCCAAGCCATCATCCCTCCTACAACGAAGTTGTAATCAAAATGTGTGTGTGGGCTTTCGAGCTTTCGCATAGGTCGCTTAATCCATGATCCAAAGCCTAGTGTAGATGGCACCTGCTTACGATTCCGAGGTCGATTGTATATATAATATTTCGAAACAATGTCAAGCGGGTACATGTAGCTTCGATAAGCACAGGTTCCCGGTGCATGGGCGGTCGCCACGAACCCCCGACCTCGAAACCCAAAGATGACTGCCCAGGGGGTTAGAAAGATACCATATACCCTTTGCTTGCACAGGGTCTTGACCTATGTCTTGTCTGATTCCCGGAGGGATGCAACCGCCCTCCGTGTCATAGATAGATCCATATATTTACGTGTATCAATTCGATATATGTATTCATGTACTGCATTTCCCGCGACATGCAGGTAGCTGGAGTCTTTCCACCATCCACTATCGACGGCATTAGGCTCTCACCTCATACAATTGTCGTTTGATCTGGATTGTTCGACGATTCCAGGCTAGTGAGATTGCGACCGACTGGGATACTATAATAATGACTTCAATGGTAGGAGCTTTGCTGCCGTCCAAGAGGGGAACGTGTGAGTGGATGGCGGAAACGTAAAGGCAAGACCCCTACCGAGGTATACGCTGCTGATCTCACGCTGTCTACATAAGGAATGGATGATTTAATTGAGGTCCGCATAGAAGAAGGATGATGTTGGGGAAGAGAGGGGAGAGCGGGAGGGGGCCGAGCAAGGGTGAGACCACCAAGCTAGCTACTGACATCTCTGCCTACCCATGTTCAAACAAACAACGAGTGGATTGGAGGCAATTCGGACTTGCCCATAACTCGATAGCTCCGGGGCACCATGGGGATGGATATGGAGATATCGGGAGGCATTAGGTAGGGGGTATGGGCAAGTGAAACGTGCGAAAAGCATTCCATCTTTCCCAGTACATGTATTCAATTTTGACCAGTCAACAAGAATCCAAGATAGTGACACCCGAACAGATTATTCAAGCACAAAGCTGCGGGAAACGATGCTAACATGAGACAGCGAAAAAAATAAAAATAAAAAAATTACACAACCATCCAGAGAAATATCCATTGTCCTAACTAGCCACTAATCCCTCCTGGGGGTATCCTTGTTGTCCCAATACATTGCGCCTCCATCACCGATTGCCTTCATCCCATCATATCCACAAGAACGGTCTGTTTATCCCAAAAGTGAGCAAGATTTTGCATCTCCTTTATTGCCCTGTGGCCGGAAAGGATATCACCTTGGCCGTCACTCCACCTGTCTCCGAGTCTCTCACCATTGAGCTTGACGAAAGAATCGCCACATTGATGAATGAAGTGCGTGATTTCCGTTTGGGTGTCCATCGACGCACACACACATGCGCCCGTTGTATGTATGTGTGTGTGTGGGTGTGTGTGTGTGTGTGTGTGCTTTTCTTTTCTCCCGGAGAGGCTCGTTTCGAGGGAGTGCGTGGGCGGACGAAAGGGCCTCTTCGCGTCAAAGCTAAGCACCATAACCCCTGTAGCCATGCGATTTCCAGACGCTCCATGATTTTGTATCCTCCCTTTATAGTTCCTTTCGCCTTGAATCCCAGTTTCATATTCCGTGATGTTGTGGGGGTTTTTTCCCCTTGTGTGTTTTGTTTTTCCCTTCCCATTTTTACAAGTGCTTCCCAGTTATGTTCCTACAAGGTGGGGGTGGTGGCGACTTCATTCAAGTAATGTTCGCGATGTTGATTCCTGATGGCGGGACCATTGAAGGGTAGTACCCATCAGATCGAGGCTTGCCTTCAAAAGGGCCACATCTTCGGTTCATTGCCAAGGGCCCGGGGTGGAATAGACTCGGGAGAGGGCTGTTGCCGGTGTCATACTCAGTCTTGGTCTTGACTTCGAATGCCGAGGAGCTGTGGTCCGGTCGCTGATGCGTAAAGGTATCGACACCCCCTCGGTGGTCTTGCTGGGCTTCATAGGTGGTCCCGGGGTAATACTGGTAACCCTTCGTTACCTCAATGGTCTTCGCTTCCTCGGGGGATCATAGACTCGACTGGTATCTCTTGCTGTGGATGGCGGCCAGTAAATGGTGGCATTGATGCCTGCGAAGCGTCATAGCTTCTAGGAAAGCCAGAGGAAATCATTGAATTATTGGACAAGAAATCAGGGCCAATGGCCGGGCCGTTGCCGTATCCGCTGAGGCTTCCGCTGCCTCCTCCAGGACCGCTGCTTGTGCTCCCCTTCGCTCAGTTTGATAATGGCCAGGTGAACGCCCCCGCACAATCATCTTTGCCGACCGACGATAAGCCACACGAATAAACTGGTCGCCGCCTCGGTGTCCCACGTCAGCCCGGCGCCCCATGTCACCCTGGGTTCCAATGTCGGCCCAGAGCTCGACGACCAGGTGGTAATATTGCTGCGCGGCCCTTCTCTTGCCATTATTCGCAGTGGCCTGCTTGAATTGGATACGCTCGAATGTGTGCTCGGTCTGAAATGTTACTGCGCCCTGCGATCCGCAGGAAGCCGCGGCGTAGTTTTGGCCGTACATCGCGGGGCTCCCCATGCTAGGATCCCCAAGGCTACTATAAAGGCCCAGCTGGCGTCCGGGTAACTGTGGGGTTTTCGGTGCTAGTCGGACCTTCTCTGGCTTAGCGATGGGGCCCTTGTCTCTCTTGGGAGTGTGCTGCACGAGTTCGATGCTGTGGTCGTCGTTCTCGGCGACGACTGCTGAGATTGTCATGGCAAATCCTGCAACGTGATATGTTTGCTCCGAGCCTTTTGGCGTGAACTGCAACGACATTGAAGGGTAATGGGGGTCAAACTGTACGAGCAAACACACGAGAAATAATTGCGTCTGTAGCACGTCCATTCTCCATCTGATAAAAAGAACCCCTTGTCAATGGTACCGTGGATTTCGGGTCGAACGTGGGTTCCTCCCCCGTCCGCATACTCGAGGGTCCCTAGCGACGCCATCTTCTCGAGGGGCGGGATAGTTGCCGTCGCTTGAGGCTTGGGGAATGTTGCATCTATTGCTACCGGAGCGGTAAACCCAGCGATCGGGCTTGGCGTAGGCGACAACGGAAGGCGCCTGGGCACGGATGCAGGGAAACTAGGCGATCGTATTGAGTGTTCAGACGACCGCCTGTACGCTGGGGTTCCCGGGTTGTTGTATTGCTCCCGCGTGGTGAGATCTCGCGCACCAAGTTCCCGTGCCTGTTGATGGGCTAGTCGAGGCGCCATTCCGGACGGAAGATTGCTGGCAGGGTCAGCGACGTTTATTATTACCTCGAGCCAGTGACGCCAGGAATCTTGAGGGTTTGATAGATCTGCGATGCGAAGGAGGGGTATGGCACATAGATTGATGGAGGGAGAAGAAGTAACGTTTTTTACCATGCAGATGGGGCGGGCTACTACATACCTTGAGCCCAGTCGAGGACGGGCGTCGAGAGCGGAAAATAGGGACTGAGTCTGGTAAGAGAATGCACCCCCTCAGGGTGGTAGGCTGCACTTGGGTTAAGCACGGGCGGAGGAAACAAGGTGATGAGCGGGGAAGGTTGGTGAATTGGAGCCTCTATGGTTAACGACGTGCTACTCGAGTCTTGGGTATATCTGTTGAGGATATGGTCAGTTATGGAAGGTAGAAAGGACGCGTGAACCGAGCTGGGTCAAGGAAGGGGAGAATGCATTGGAATTGCTGCTGGGGAGTAAAAGGGAGAGGAGACGGGGACAGAGGATGAGATTGGTAGAATTTCAGGCTGTCGTATTTCACACCCGCAGAAAATATACAGGGCACAATGTGTCGTACAAACTGAAGCTTGCGGAACCGCCAGCTCTCATGGTTGTACCAGCCAGAGGATACAGGTCGGCAGTCGTCAGGTCGTCAACCATGAACTACTCCCGCAGAGATAGACGCGGGGGTGTTTGGGGGTGACACTTGCCACTCTCAAATTCCTAACCCGGCAGCTATCCATCTCAGGTGCTCACGGGCGAGGTTCTTCGCGTGCGGATCTGCGTGGCCGTGGCGGTATGCGCCGCCTAGGCTCTCGCTTCGTCCGTCGCACTGCCTCAGTGCTGCTGACGCAACAATCCTGCCATGGGAGGATAGCTTCCCAGACCAGACCGGGGAAGAAAACTAAGAGGAAAAAAGAAAAAGAAAAAGAAAACGGTCCAACGACAAGTCTCAAGAGAGACGTGTCCTGGGCCTGCAAACTAGGCACTCCATGGGGGATAGGGCTAGTAAATTGCCGTCCGAGACTCGGCACGTTTGGTTTGATAGGGACCTGCTAGCTGCGAGGAGGGGAGGACATTTCACATCCACGACCACATCCTTGCCGAAAACCACGCGATAGAAGCCCGTGGTTTCTAGGGTTGCTACTCTAGACTGAGGAGCATAGGACGCGGGCTTATAGAAGCAGCCGCTAGAGGGAGGCTATTGACGCGAAAGGGCAATCGTGGTGTAGGAAGAGATGGGTGCAAGATACAAATGCAGACAATTGCTTACCTTATGTCAGACGCTGGCGGTGGTATGTCAAGATAGTCCAGCCCGGAGCACGATGACGCGGGCTGGAATTCCTGCTGGAGTCGAGAGGTGAGTTAGGTGGCAATTGCACTACATGGCCTTTGGGGGCTTTCAAGCGAGTGCGATGGAGGAAGCGCCTTGAGACGGATGGGAGGAAGGGTAGGGAGGAGAAAATGAGGGAGGAAGAGCAAGGTGTGGTTTGGAAAACAAAGACGAAAAAGGGCGATGAATAAAAGGTAAGACGGCTAGAGACGAATGGAGTGGTTGGCTTTGCTCCGACCGGTTGTCACCAATGTTTCCGGGAGCATGAGCATGAGGCGGGCATCTCCTCGCCAGCGAGAGAAGGGGGAAAGGTACTGGCTTGAGATGGCCCGGCGATGTTATCTGTGGCGCGAAGGCGAATTAAGTCAGCAAAGCAATCCCGGAATCTCGATCGACAGAAGCAAAGAAGAGCATCCCCCTCCCTCCCTTGCATTGAAACCCTCGATACAACGGGAGGAAGCTGAGCACGACTGTGCGAGAGCAAGGGGGTAGATGCCGACCGAACGGCAGAGAGACGGAGAGAAACCGGGATGGCAGGAAAGAACGGAGAGGATGGCTGCGTGGGAGAGCAGCCAGGCTACAAAAGTAGATTGGCTACGAGGGTGTGTTGAGTGCGTTGAGTGCGTTGGGTGGTATGTGTGCGAGTGTGCGAGTGTGCGTGAGTGTGTGCGTGTGTGTGTGCGGGAGATGGAGGGGGCGTAAAAGATGCCTCATCAAACCCGGCGATAACTTGGACGAAACGCGAGTACACTGAGAGTACCCGTTGGACACTCTTTAGTACCTTGCGAGCCTTGCCTTGCAGGCTAAGCAGGGGGGACCGAACATTCTTTTTGTCCTGGTCCAGAAACGGATTGGTCAAGACGGGCAGGGGAAATCCACGAAGCTTAGTCAATAATAGACCCACACCACGCCGCCATGTGCTGCTGGGAAAAAGCGACACCCCTGGACCACACCTGGAGGCGCATGTGGGGTGACAGACGCTGAGAGGTGCGGACAACCAGCAGGACAACCCGCAGGACAACCAGCTCTGAAGCAACGAGGATTCGCGAGGCGGAGGGTTCTCCCCATGGAAGAGCAGAGCGCCAACAGCCAACAGCCCACAGCCCACAGCCAAGATGACTTTAAACTTGGAGATGTGGGTTTCGTTGTTGTCTGGACAATTTCGAACAAAAAGAACAACTTGAAATCGACCCCAGCCTCGCTCCGAACCCCCCTCTTGAATTGTCCTTTGATTGGGGTTGTGTGAGGCCCTCGGTCTCCGCCCAGTGGAGCAGTGGAGCGAGGAAGTGCGTGGGAATTGAACAACGTGCAATGCATCCGCCAAGTCGCGAGGTCGTATAAACACCCTGAACGTAAAGAAAAGTGATTCAATACTTACATGGATAGGTGCATTATGGCGAATACCACGCCCGTCGGCACATTTGCTTTTAATTCTGAAATGGTTGCGGATGGCCTCTCAAAGGTGGATGTTGCAGCAGCACTCCATCCCCCTCCCTCCCCTCCCTCCCAACTAGTGTTTTGACTTGACCGGCTCATTTGAGCTTAATATAAGACAATACCTCTCCGCCTTGAGCAGTGCATCGCGCTCCAGGAAGGCGATTAGAAAGGCCACACCAAGCCCGGTGGGAGCAGGTGAACGTATCACACACCAATTACCACTTCACATGAAGCGAGGCGGCCCGAAGACGGGATTGCAAAAGGAGACGAGATCTCGAAGCATAGGGATAGATATAGGTGAGAAAAGTGCCATTACCTTGGGGTTCATGGGGCCAATTAAGGCGGTCTCTCGCCTCGAGAATGTCGGAGAAGATGGGGAGCACCGGATCTTTCGGGGACGATTTCGATCGCCACGCTTCTTCTGTAGTCCACACGATGGTACGGACGGAACTGCTACTCTCTAACGACTAGTAGCGTTTGGGTGCGATACTACCTTCTATCTGGTAAGAGGAGTCAGCAAGCTTAAGGGCACTTCCCCTCCCCTCCCCTCCCCGGAGCCAAACCAGTTGTGGGAATCGAAGGAAACCCATGGTTTCTCTTTGTATTATTTACTTTATATATTCAGGCTCGTGCTGACGGAGGCTGGCGGGCCACGCGGGTGTCGGAATGTAAGAGTGAGGCGTTGCGTAAATGTTCGCGGTTGCTTTGTCTGCAGTCGTATTAGTGATGCCTGGTCTCTGCAGGGCCGGGGCCAGCGCGAGCGCTTCGAAACGATGCTTACGCAGATACGCTGAACAGGAACAGCCTGCAAGGAAAGGGGCGCAGGATTGAGCTCCAAGTTATTTGATTCGATGGCTCTCGCTTCTCTCGGATGCTCTTGGAAACGGTGGCTTCTAACGTTCCCTCCGTGCAGGCTTACGGAACTGTGAGAATTCTTGGATATGGCGCGATAGTTAGTCTAACCAGCCTAACTCGGTGGATTAATGGAGGAGATTTTAGGAACGATAGAACCAGCACTCACTAGCTGAGAGCGTTGTGAAGAGAGTCAATTTTAGTTGCGATAGCATCAGGACGCGTTGCCTGTCGGCATGAAGCCAATGCTGAGCGAACTGGTATCCAGGGGCATTTGGACGTACCAATCGGATAATCGAACTTCTTTTGTAAACAGTAAATGAACTTACGGTGTTGTATCCTGCCCAAAATCATCAAGGCTTTGAGGGAGCGTCGTAGGGTAGGCAATGGAGGAGTATTGAGATGGAAGCTAATGTCGCCTTTATCGACGACAGGGTAAAGTGTTCGTGGGTTGATGTCACAGATGGAAACTCGGCTTCATTCAAGTCTGTGCTAGTCAAGAAAGAGCCCTGCGTCAATGGGTCTGGGTCTACTTCGACTCTATATAAGCCGGAGCATGAACAAGTCCTCTCCCGTAAAAAGCACGACGAGACTGCTTGCCTCCCATCTGAGGATGGAACTGAAGAACCCCACGGCCGCTTCATACTCGGCGACAACTGGAGCCCCTTCATCAATGCTATACTGCGGCCGCCCTAGGATCAGCAGGACAGAATGGGTCGCTCCCTGGATAAAATTTGGTCTTAGACCTACGTCGCCGTTTCCGCATACTGCCCAGGCCCACATCCTTCCGAAGAAGGGGAACGTCAAGGGCGTGTGAACTCTTGGGGTTGGCCAAAAGGTCCGGTCCTCGATGAAATATCCCTTCTCACCGACTGTCCGAGGCAAGAATCCGCCTCCAGTTCGGGGCTACTCGTACTCAGCATCTGCCTCCTCGGCTCCGCCCCAAACTTCATGTCTACCTCCCACACCCATGGCCCATCATAGTCAGGAGTTGGGGTAAGAAACCTGTATGGAGCACACGACAAATGCCATGATGCGGTTTACAATCATGTGTTTGCGGTTTGATGCCTCGTTGGGCACTGTCATGGGGCTTAAAAACTCGTGCAATAATATGAAATATACGCCTCAAATCCGATAGCTGACGGATGGCTTCCACCGGAGACTAAGCAGCGCTTCGTCCCCTCCTCCTTCAAAGCTTGCACTTGGCGGGATATAGGTGTCCAAGTCCAGGCCTTTTACACCAGCGGCGCAGAGTCCTAGCCACGATCATAGGCGCAAGCGAGAAACAGACGTGTGGACCAATTCTACGCACACACTCGGGTATAGCGCGATTTCGATACGTCGAGCTAGGAGAGAAACGACCGGGCTTCGACTGAGGTCTTAGCCTTGC